AAGGACAAGTGTTTGCCTGCCTGAGCCTGTGAAGAAAAATGCATCCTCGTAGCTTAACATGAGTTGTTGATAAATGTAACTTTCACTAAATAGAAATAAAAAGTAGTGAATACTTACAAAAGGAAGCATGAGTGGTCAGTCTTCTGGTGCCTTAGCCTCAGTGACAGGCATCTACCAGACCCTGTCCTTTTTGACCAAAAGGTATTCCACACAGAGGGCAGCAGCATATCCTGGTTTCAGAGAAACTGGCACACCAAAGAGACTTCTCTTCAGTGCACCTTGATAAGCTTGAAGGAAATCCAAACTCTATCAAAGACAGCCCAGCAATCATTAAAACATCTGTTCACACTCCCAACTGCAACTGCCAATACACTCAATTTGTCTTCTAGTCCTCTGCTCAGTTTGATCTGGATATCGAGATACCTATCTTGAATTCAAAGAATGTTTTAATCTTTAAGGTGCTACAGAGACTGATAAAATGCTCTCTTCTGGGAATTGTCTTAGAGAATTACCTGCTAGAAAAAAATTTTCATTACAAAATACATGTTTATTATAACAAATTCAATAGTTCATAAATGCACACAGTAAAATGAGAAAGTCCTTTGTAGCCCTGAGGTAACTACTATTATTTGGTATGTTGAAAATTTGCGTTGGCAAAATAAACTTCTGTGGTTTTTTTCAAGTGAATATTCCTGTTATTGTCTTGCATTAATACTTACGAGAAAGGATATCTAGCTATTCTACCTGCAAAATGATTTATATCCTTTTTTCATGGAAGATGTGTGATGACTTACTAAGACAAAATATCCGAATTGAACTTTTTCCACAATATCCCTGTTCCCACGTTTTCCTTTACTAAGATTATACAGTTGTCATCTAAAAATTCAAGTGTTTTTAAGACTAGTGGCCACTAAAGAAAATATAACTAAAAGTAATTTCCCTTAATCTCTTTCCATCTAAATCACTATCTGTTTATACTTACTTAACTACATTACAGTTACAGAATATTGGCTGATATTAGCACCCACAAACAAGCCAAATACCAGTTTGATTTTAATGCCAAGCCTGTAGGTAGGGAAGGGTGAATTCCTTAAGTATATACATGCCAGGGGCCTAAATAAAACCATAAAGCTTACGTTTTCTTTCTTAAGCTTTCTCTTATTTTTGCCTCTCCTCAAGCATCAACTAGAAATTGAGTCGTTAGCAGTCCATACTCTGATTGGGCCAGCTAGCCTTTTTACCTACTTATAGAACCTTCTAAAGGGATATAAGGAAAATAATTTTCATGTTGTTTCTTGCTAGACCTTCATGCAGATATGATTTGAAATATTACTGCTAACATAATACCTGGAAAAGCAGTATCTCTGACCCACAAAACTGGAAAAATAACCACCAGGAAAATGACAGTTTAGGGCTAGGGACAGGTCCACAGGATGGGATATCCAGGTAGCCAAAGAGGCAGCACAGATCTAATGAGGGTTTTCTGAAAGCAAAAGAGTTCAGGAGACACACCAAGAAACACCAGCTATTTTCCTTAAAGAAACACTTTATTTTCCATTTAAACAACTTGGTCACAGGACATTATTTTACATAAATGGCAGTAATTTGTAAAATCTCCATTTAAAAGGCCTTGTGTCTGAGTCTGAGGCGATAAGAGGATAGGAATACAAGTACAAAAACAGTGCAAAATGTTTAGCCCACAGCCTCCAGGGTTGGCTTTGGAAGTCCACTTTAATGCTGCTGGCTGGGCCAGTTACATTAAATATTAAATAAATATTCCTGGGTTTCCTTTAGTCTAACATCAGACCCAGAAATGTAATCAAATGAAAAGGCTCAAGAGCCCTAACAACTCGAACCATCAAATCGCCCAGATCAAAGGATCACAACAGGTTGACCTTGCAAGCTCTATAATACGGTATTTTGTCAGTGGCTCCATCTGAAGAAATACAGAATTTTAGTTGCATCAATAACTAGAATAGACTAGCTCTGGTTTTAAAGCTTTGCCTTTTAAGTATGAATTTCTAGAGGTGAAAGGTGCCATCGGGAGGGCTAGAGTTCCAAGAAGTCACAAGCCCAACTCGGTCATAGCCACAGCGCCTAAGAAATTTGTCTCCACTAACCATTCATACAATCTTTGGCCTGCTGCTGCTAATACAGTGAAACACTCAGTGCCAGCTGAAGTGTGGATACTAGTCCATTAGCAACAGGATTACACTTAGCTGATTCTGCAAAAAGTTTACATTAATCCCAGCAAACATCTACGAGAACATATGAATTGTATTCGGTAGTAAGTTTAGCATGGCTTTCATTCTCCTTGTATGACCTTTGCAGTGTTTAAGATAGAATGGCGCACATGTCAAAGTGCTGCTGAGAAAACCAGATTCCAAACAGGTGCCTCAAGCAAATGTCTCTCATCATCTGTTGCTTGTTTAAAAAAAATTCTCCTTTTCAAAATGCAGGGTTCCAAAACATGGCTAAAATGAAGTCAAGTCATATAAACCTACTTCCCTAGTTGAAAGAGACCCTTACACCTCACAAAACATTAATTTTTAAACATCCTGGTTAAAACTGTGCTCCTAGATGTCATTTTTTTTTTGCTTATATTAGTTGAGCTTTATAATAAAAAGTTAATGTCCTATTTAAAGGAAATATAGTCTGTTAAGCAGATAGTCAGTATTATGTAGAATCTTACTGGCATTGTGTTTTCTGGCAGTGGAAGAGTCTGGTATAGAAAATTTTCTCTTGCTAAAAATATTAGAAGTACCAAGGACTATTGCGTAAGAGAAGTTCGTAAGCAATCTTTCTGCTTAGGCAGATGGTACAGTTGAAGACAACAATTACTCCATTCACCAAGGAAAATGCTACTTGGATAGCAAAGATTTACAATATCCTAAACACAAACACATGTGGCTGAAGTGAAACAAACAGCACATTGTCCCCAAAACATACTTAAGGCTTTACTTGAGCAGCGTCAGAGTAACCTACCAAAGAGACATTGTTAATGGTCAGTTCATTTCAGGAGGGCCCAGCTAGAACCACAAAAGTACTCTGTGAGTATCATAAGAAACATTCTTAAATATTGAAGGATTTTCTCCTTTCACGTAATCCTGATCCTTAACTATTTCTCCCGTGAACCTTTCAAATGAGCCCATTTGTCTCCCCTAGGAATAGTTCACAATGTGTGATAATAATGTAAGTGGTGAAAATATAGTAGGTAATTTATTAAACACCACATCCAGTATGTTTATTAACAGAGCATGAGGATGTGGGGTGAGAGAAGGGAACCTGCTTGTTGGAATCACATTCAGGGGACTTGCTCCTCTGGCCAAGACAGCTGGTTTACAGGTTTGTGGGACAGTTGTCCAATGCACCCCACCAGATGTTTTTCTTGGACTCAGTCACTTGCAAAGGCCTTGTCCTTTCAAAGACTCCACTTTAAATTCTTCTGCCCTCTGGAGACAACCAAGGCCTATAATAAAATCACTCAAATAGTTCCAGGTCATAAAGAGCCTCAATAGTCTAAGCATGTAGAGCAAGGATGTCCCAGAGTCTATAGAAACACGGCTCTTGGCCGGCCCCTCATTTGCCGCTCCTTTTGGTACAAATACTTCAGATGTCTTTCACCACACAAAACCACTGATCTTTTGACAGGTTTGAACTTTCTTCTGTAAACTGCCAATCATAAGTCTCAAGGAACTTAAAACAAGCATCTTAATTCCAATAAGCCAGAATAATATACAAGGAGTCCCTACCCAAATGAGGAAAACTGAGTTACCTCAACCCTATGAGGGGTGGGTTGTTATAAAGATGGTGATCATTCCTAATTCTTCCAAATGACTCTGGTCTTTTTGAACTACTCATCTTCATCACATTTTGATTGTTGTTAAAGATTTGGCAAGAAGCTAAAATACTATACTAATGTTTCTATGAATTTTTATTATTATATCAACTGCTAGACAATCTGAGTTGGCTGTGCAGCCGATATTCAAGAGACACAATGACAACTACCGATTTCTGCCCACATGTGCCATCCTTGACATTATTACTATCTCTCTTAACTAATTTCTTTCTGTACAGGTTTTAGGTATTTCAGATCCAACTTTCATTCTAAATGAATATGCCATTCTGGGCCAGAGAGAGGCCATCACTGTAGAAACCACAGCATCTGCTAACATCCCCAGGCTTCCTGTTTGGCTCATCCCAGTGGACTACAGGGCCTATCATTCGTTAAACAATCCATCTCTGGAGAGAGCAACAACAAACCTGAATAAAAAGGTGGTGACCATCTTAGGGACAGCCCCAATTAATGGCAAGACTAGGGATGGTGCTAGCTGCAGAGGGTAGAATTGCAGGAAGCAGCAATATTTCCTCTTAACATCTATAAATCTCTTGCTAAAGCAAAATGCACAGAGTGACTGAAAAAGCTGGCATTATTTTCCCTATATCAAGCCAAGGCTAAGGCAAATTCAAGGATAAGGACTCATGAATTACCTTTGGGACTGCAAAACAGTACATGTATAAGATCACCAAACATTTCAAGAGGGTATTTTCCCCATCTGAAATTCTCTCATCTTAATTCTATGGCAGAATGACCCATTCTATATAAATATTTAATCTTTTATACATCTTCAGTTTTGAGATATGATTGAAAGAACTTGGTATTTTGGGAAGAACTAGGAAAGAATAGTAATCCATTAATTAGTGGAAATTACATATACCCTGTTTTTTCTCTCCTAGTGAGATACTTTTATTTAGGGAAGAGTGAATGAGAAGTAATGTGCAAGTTAAGTGGGAAGATGTCAATCAACGCCTCACAGAACGTTCATGCCAGAATAAAGCGAATGCCAGAAGACTGATTTTTGCGATCGAGTGCTGTTAAGTGACAGCATTTGAACTATAGGATCAAAAAATGCAAGCCCTTGATACTAAACAGCCTCCCTACCCAGGAAAGAGAGTTAAGTATTCCCATAGGAATGGCTGTTCTCATCTTCTAGACACCGTCACAAGTGTGCTAGCACCTTACCCAGTAAAACATGGAAAGGGGGGAAAAACATTAATTCCTAGTGGAGTTATTTATAGGAAATCCAAACAGACACACAAAAAAATAAATATAAGACCTCATCACCTAAACTCATGACCACTGTAAGTTACATTAGCAATAATTATCTTTGTAATTGTTATCAACTGTCCTTTCAAGATCAGATGACTAGCATGAATTCATCTGGTCATCTTCTCCTCTGTTTGAGTAGTTAACATCTAATACTTAAGGAGAAATTGAAATTCTCTTAATTATACAATACAGCATATGCTAAAAACTGATTACCCTAATAATATTGGCTTCAATATTCTGACCTACATTTTTCTTCAGTCTTAGGATTTTCCTAATAATACTTCATACCTCGTGGTGCTTTAGTTATTTTCTAGTGCTGTCCACATCCCTCCTCCCTCACATGACCCTCATGACAGCTCCGTGAGGTAGCCAGGGCAGGCATCAGTACCCCACTTTACAGATGACCCTGAGACTTGGGAAAGTGACTCGACTAAGGGTCACATGGCTATTAAGAATTGAAAGAGGGATTAGAAACTATCCTAATCCAAAACTCTTTCCCCCAAACTATGGATGAGAATTGCTTCTATCAATTTGTGCATTAGCAATCCACATCCTTTTTAACTTCCGGTGATTGAGTCAATTAATAAGGTGACTGGCAAGGAACGGCTCACTTTTACTGCTTTAATATAAAAATCTCTTAAGCTGTGAAGTCAGAAAAATTAACTTCTTCCCAGTCCAGTCCCTAAACCTGAGCATGGCCCTATAATCCCTTTAAGAAACTGGGGATAAAATGAACATCCTGCGTAGACACTGAAGTGTAAAATGCAAGGGAGATGGAGGGAGGAGCCATCACCCCTCGGCGAGCCCTACGGAAGGCACTTCAGACAATGTCCTCGGCAGGGTGGTGGAATGCATGTGTGCCCAGGGTGGAGAACTGGTGCCAGTTCCGCAGGAAACCCCGATTGTACTGGCCTGTGTCCACGATGAGCCCGCAGAGGAGCCGGCGCCCGGTCTTCTGTCGAAGGGCCTGCTGGACTTCCCTCTCGGTCACGTTGTAGCTGATGTTTATCAGCTGGATCAGGAAGATGTAGGCCATACCCGCTGTGATGATCACTGAGTACCACACGCAGGTGAAGGACAGAGCCGAGCTGGGAGGGAGGAAAGGCCAGTCAGGGCTGCTGTTTTTGTCACATTGAGAAACCCATCATCATGCTAAGATTTTATACTTTTTTTTACTTATTACTAAGGACTTTGGCACCTTCCCCAACCCTATGGAAGATACTCAAGAATGCCAATAACCTAACTTAGGAGAATTAACATATTCTATTTTCCTCTAAATTATTGGTGCCTCTTTTTCTAGTATGTTATACCAGAATAGCAAGAACTGTTTTTTTGCATTTTGTATGCTCCATACAACCAGCGGAGTGCCTGACACAATGGAATTCAACATTTAGGAATAATTCCTAAATTGTATCTGATGCATGAGAAAACAAAGGCACCATGAGATTGCTATAAATGTCCTCAAGGAAGCTGCAGGTGGGCACCTAGGAACAGTGCTGAAGTTATTAATCCCCTCTCTTTTCAATCAAATGCTAAGGAACACAAAGAAGACAACTTCCAACACTGGTAGCCCTTTGCTCACTTACAAGAGATGTAGGAACACCACAACATTCCAAACTTGGCTTCCCAAAGCCAAACAAAATCAGGTAGGGCAGGACAGCTCCTTTCAGGCTCATTAATAAGACTATGAGGAGGGGCTGCCCAGTAGCACCTGCCATTTGGTTATTGTCATTCAAACAATTGCAAATTAAGAGCTGGTAGGAAATAAATTCATTCAGAATCTTCATCTGGAAAGCTGAAGGGCCTTGGAGATGATTAAATCCAAAGACCTCACCATAAACATAAGGCGACATAAATCCGCCACAGAGCGGGGTGAGGACCAATGGCAGGACTGTGGTTCTCAGTCACTGAAGTCACCCTGCTGAGGGTAGCGACTTGCTCTGCTTTAGGACGTTCCTCACCCACGGCGTTAGCGGAGAATTTCACAACCTAGTAAGACTCGCCACACAGCTAGGAAAGAAACTTACTCAGAGGAAGAGGACCAGTCTATTCTAATAATGCCCACAAATGTCTAGATCTAGAATGGCAATGGGGAGATCTGTCCACAGGCTAATAAAAACAAATGCCGCACAGGGGTACTGTCGAGAGGAAGCAGGGATTGTTCTGAGAATGAAGAGTGAGAAGAAAGAAAAGGATCAAACCGTAGAGCTCTCATGTCAGAGGAAAACGGTGGAGGAAAGGAAAAGAACACGGGCAGAGGGGCACCCTGGTGTTCAGGGGAGGTGGCTGGGGCCGGAGCTGAAGAATCCCAGCTTGTGCCATAGCTCGGGGATCTTCACAACACACAAATGGGCCCCTTCCTAGCAATGCCTAAGGAAATTCTGACCTACATACCACAGTAATCATGAGTGCTGATTTAAAAAAAAAAAAAAAGTAGGACAGGAAAAACCAAGAGGAAATTAGAAAGAAAAGAAAGGTCACAGAGATGGTGAGCACTTCTTAAAAGGGTCAGAAGTAGTAAATGAAGATTGGGCTAAAAAGCAACAGAAAACGGCAATGAAGTGAGAAGAGATTCTTGATATTTATGACAAAATAGACCCCATACATACCTGGAACTGCTAGTTATTGATTGCTTTAGTTTCACTATTGCTACCTTGGGCATGTGAGTGGTCACAACCCTGGAAATCCCTGATTAAAGCCTGGTTCTGTTGGTAGACTAGTGGCTCTTCACGTTTTAAGGGTCAACCATCCTTTTGACATCACCTTGGAAAAACACATAGAACCACTGCACAATTTTGTTGTTAATTTCAGGGACACCCAGCATCCCCACTGCCTGTCCTATGCTTTGGTTGAGAACTCCTAGCCCAGTAGTAACAGGCCCTGGTAATGGCAACATCCATGACTTCCTCCGTGGGTCTCTACACTGTGGTATCCGCAACTTACCTATAATTTGCATAAACTCCAGGACAATAGAAGAGAGCTGTGAAGACACTTCTATCTCTACAAATGGTGTCCAAGGTCAGCGTGATCCCATACACCGAGGTGAGCAAGAAGATCAAAAGGGCAAGTATAAATGCTTGATGATTGGATTCTCCAACGCAGCTATTTATCCTCAAAACAGCATAGAGGGGAAAAAAAAAGCAAACATGTTTTTAAAAGTTCTCTATATAATTCACATAATAAATAAGAAAGCTTTTAAAATAGGGACAGTGTGAATTTCACTTATTAAAAAGCAAGTTCTCTTATTTTTCAATTTTAAGGAATTAAACATTTGCCCACAGAGGGATGCAATCTTATATTCTCTGCTCTGTGCAAAGTGGAATCATATCATTAGTTCTAGGACAAGACTAAGGAAAAAAGCAGAATATGACTAACAAATCTTCCTAAATATTAGTAAGTGAAGTCTGTTACCCATCTACGAGAGAGTTAACATTGTCATTACCATGCTAAGGGAGAGAAACAGCAGAATTATAAAAACTTAAAAAATGCTAAGTCAGAAGTATCACCACAGTATGGGAAAACATATGTTAAATATGTAAAGAGTAATAAAAAAATCCGAAGAGGTTAGAAACATGGTGTGAGGCGGAGAACAACCTGATAACATACAAGCCGTTTGTCAGGTAAAAATAGTTCTGTGTCATGGCCACTTGCAGGGCAGGCGGTACAGGCAGTCCCTCCTGCCCACTGCACGCCGGGATGCTGAGGCAGGCAGAGGAGATCCGCTGTTAGGTGAGGTTTTCAGGACCTCTGCAAACCAGCAGTTGTAAATAACTGCCCCCGCCACCAACACACACACACACACACTCGGGAATAAATGATGAAGACACAGTGGAATACCTAAAAATGAAAACACCTGTTTACTTCTAAAGACAAAATCCCAGAAGAAAAGCCATCCCTGTACTTGAGCCATGCACTTGAAGTCCACTCTGATGCCCTCTCGGCCCTTCCTGCACACTCACCCTCTCCTGTGTCCCCTGCTGAGGGGGAGGTGTGCTACATGAGCAGAGTCCTAGACACGAAAGGCGTGATTCACTGACCACGACTGCCTGAAGAGCAATAACCTACAAACATGCCACTTACAGCATTCGCACCCGAATTAATTACACTCCCTTCAGTTTAGATTTCCTCAGTAAAACTGCAACATTATCTTTAAACATTGCACTTTGCATCTTACGGGCCTTATCTGTCTTCATTTGCCACTGGCCAGATGGAAGGTATGAAAGAAGTCCATCTCGCCGCAAATAACCAAATAGAGAGTTTATCTCGTAGGGCCTCAATTCAATAATATTAAGATGAAATCACTGGTAGCATCAAAAAAAAAAAAAATGATTATGGCAAGAGGACAAAACAGTCACCTAAAAACAGGGGTATGTTTTTTTGAGCTCTGTGTTCAAAAGGAATAGCCCAGGGAAATATGCCTATACTGATTCTGATAAATTCTTTAAAAAAAAAAAAATCATTCAACTGTAGATACTTCTCTATTAGAAAGGAAAAGATAAATGAAGAGCAATTCAAAAGAAAATTGGAAAAAACCCCCACAACTTCTCTGTTATTCTTCTTCAGGAAATGACTGAAAAAACTAAATCTGTGAAACTCGAAAAACTGATGACTAAGTGGGAACATCATACCAGCCCACAAATATCTACAAGGTGTAAAGCTGGGAAGCACAGAAATCTTAGCATAGCACAAAGGAGGATCAAATATGGCTAGAGTTTGACATGAATTTACACTTTTGAAGCCTCCAGATTTTTCCAACATACCAGACACAATGATGATCCATTCTCTTCACACAGATGCCACAGATCCGGCAATGCCATGCCCGGGCTGGTCGCACCAGCTGGCACTTGGCACACCAGTCCTCCTTCACCTTGGTGGGACTTCCAGCCGACATCCTGGAAGAGCCCTTAAGGTCATCCTTGAGCGTGCGATTGTTGAGGCTTCCTGATGTGTCTGCTCCAGGGAACCCTTTGGTCTTGTCCTGCCCCTTTCTGTTCAGGCATCCCATGTGGCTGCCACTTAGAGATCTGTCACTGCTTGCTGGATTGCTGAGGTAGCCTGGATTCTTCTTGGCTCTGTACAAGGCTAAGAGTATCAGAAATAACCCGCAGGTGAGAACAGCCAGGCGAGTGGGCCCCACACGCCCTTTGGGGACCACTTCCTGCAGGAACACATAGTACATGTAGCCCAGTGAGAACAGGCCAAGGCTCAGGAAAAACAGAGTCTGTTCTTTCCTTCTGTGAGTGAGGTAGTAGTACCACAGTGCCAGCACAGGGAGGGAGGTCAAAACCACCACCCCCAGGAGGAAATGCCAGGAAGCCACGTGAAGGAAGACAGGCAGGAGGACAAGAGGAGGAATGATGCTGATGTTAACTTTTTTGGCTCCCCTAAGCCAAGGAATTCGGAGGCGATCAGAAATTGTATCCATGATTCTTTCACAAGTCTCTGGCCGCACAGATTTACATGTAATCCACCTATTCAGAAAGAGCACAAAGAGAAGGGACTTCATATGGGTTTGCTGAATTAAAAACCACAGAACACTGAATGCCAAACAGCAGGATAAACGATAAGAGAGACCAAAGGCCAAGCGTTTTACTTCCTTACTACTAAACACAAGCGTTTCAGATTCACGTGTCATCTTTTTAATAGGAACAAGGAGATAATGCTACAAACTTAACAGTCTCCACTAAATATTCTCTACTAAACCAATACATAGGTATGTACCCATACTCCGTACAAGTAATGTTCAGACCTTATGACCTGTACAGTCCTACAAATCTCAAAAGAATTCACAATCTAGTTGTGAAGACAACACGGGAATTCAAGAAATACTAGTTAAGTGACAAAGCAGCAATAATCAATGAACTCCGATGATCAAACATTACAAGGTGTGCTCAGAGGAGACCGTCAATACTTCCGGGAGGAATCATCACAGGGTTCTTTGTGGAAAAGGTGGGATCTGTGCTCGATCTCGAGGGCCAGCGAGCATTTGTATGGATGGAGAGGGAGGGAGGGCGGCTTTCCAGTGGAAAGAAATGTGTGCAGCACAAAACCTGGCCTGGGCCCAGGGAAGAAAAGAGTCAGGGCCAGGGGTCTGCACAGGGAAGAATGAAGATCAAACTATTAATAGTATGAGTCAAATGACTGAGATAGGTGAACAGAATGGTGTTTGTTGATTTTTGGACACCTGGGCTATGTGATGTTCTAAATGTGTCCTTCCAAAATTCACGTTAAAACCTAATCCCTAAGGCAATAGTATTAACAGGTGGGGCCTTTAGGAGGCGATTAGGTCACATGGGCAGAGCCCTCCTAAATGGGATTAGTGCCTTTATAAGAGGCCCAAGGAAACTTGTTCAGCCCTTCCACCATACGGGGACAGTGCCATCTATGAAGCAGGGAGCAAGCCCTCACCAGACGATGAATCTGCTGGTGCCCTGATCTTGGATCTTCCAGGCCCCAGAACCATGAGCAATAAATTTCTGTTGTTTATAAACTACCGAGCCTAAGGTATTTTGTTACAGCAACCCAAATGGACTAAGAAACTGATACTGAGAAGTGGGGTGTTACTATGACAAATATCTAAAAACACGGAAGCGGCTTTGGAACTGGGTCATGGGTAAGGGGCTAAGAGTTTTGAAATATGTGCTGGGAAAAAACCTGTACCGTTGTGAATAAGCCATAAAGGGCGATTCTGGTAAGGGCTCGGAAGAAGAGGGCTGTAGAGAGAAAGCCTCAATCTTTGAGATTACCTAAGAGGTCATGAGCAGAATGTTGGCAGAAATACGAACAGTAAAGGCCATTCTGATGAGATCGCAGATGGAAATGAGGAACATGCTACCGGAAAGTGGAGGAAAGGCCATCCTTGTTTTAAAGCGGCAAGGAACTAGGTGGAATTGTGTTTGTGTCCTAGTGTTTCATATAAGGTAGAACTCAAGAGCCATAAAATTGAATATGTGGCAGAATAAATCTCTCAGCAAAGTATTCGGGGTGCTTCATGGCTTCTGTAGAATGCTTACAGTAAAATTTAAGAAGAAAGACATGATTTAAAGACAGGATTTATAATCAAAAGGGAAGCAGGAAAGTCTCAGCCTTCTCAGCCTATCTATGTAGTAACAAGAATGTGTTTGGGAGAGAAGAGCAAGGCTGTGGCTAAAGATCAGTAAGGATCAGCCCCATGCTATGCATCAAGACAATAGAAGAACAACCCTGAAGCATTGAGGAGCTTGTTGGGGCTACCATTCCAATCACAAGCCCAGAGTGCCAAGGCCTTGGGGCAGAATGGTTTCATAGGAGGGGCTAAGGGGACCCATGGGACCTCAGGGCTTGCTGCTTGGCACACCTCAAGTCTCTGCTCACTACATCCTGCTGCAGTGCTCCGTGGCAGCTCCAGGTATGACTCCAGTGGGCCTAGGTAGAGTATAGGCCACAGTGGCCACCTCTCTGAAGAGCAACATCAGCAGCATCCATATGGTGCCAACTCTGCAGACACACAGGATGCAAGAGCTGCAGAGGCATGGCTACCTCCACCTAGATTTCAAAGGATGCCCTGGAGTACCTCAGGGCTGAGGCAGACAACTGCCACCACAGAGAGCCTCCACTAGGGCACTGCCCAGTGGATCCATGAGTATGGGGCCGCTACAGAGAGCCCCCACTGAGGCGATGCCTAGTGGAGCTGTGGGGGCAGGGTCGCTCCCAAGACCCTAGATTGGTAGAGCCACCAGCGTGCAACTCCAGCCTGGGAGAACTACAGAATTGGCTGTACCCAGCAAAGCTCCAAACCTGGAGCCTTGGGGGTGTAACCTCCATCCCAGTATGTCCAGAAGGCAGGACACTGAGTTAAAGATTATTCTCAAGCCTTTAAGACCTAATGTTGTTTGACTGTAGTGTTAGGACCTGTCACTCCTTTCTTCTTTCCGGTTGCTCCCTTTTGGAATGGGAATGTCTATTCTATGCATGCCCCACCATTATATCTTGGAAGCACATACCTTGTTTGATTTCACAGGCTCACAGCTGGGGGAGAATTTGCCTCAGGGTGAATCATACCTTGAGTCCCACCCATATCTGATTTAGATGATGATATTCAGACTAGATTCTGAACATTAGACGTCTGAGTTGATGCCAGAATGAGTTAAGACTTTGGGGGCCACTGGGATGGAACAAATGTATTTTGCACATGAGAAGGACATGAATTTTCGGGAATTTGGAGGAGCCAGGGTGGAATGCTATGGTCTGAATATGTGTCCCCCCAAGATTCATAAGCTGAAACCTAATTCCCAGTGGGGTCTTTAGGAGATGATTAAATCACAAAAGTGGCGCTCTCGTGAACATGATTAATACCTATGTTAGTCTGTTTGCATTGCTAAAAGAAAATACCTGAGACTGGGTAATGTTTAAAGAAAAGAGGCTTATTTGGCTCATGGTTCTGCAGACTGTAGAAGAAGCATGGTGCCAGCATCTGCTTCTGTTGAGGGCTTCAGGGAGCTTCCAATCAAGACAGACGGCCAAGGGGGAGCAGGGGGTGTCACATGGTGAGAGGCGCAAGAGAGAGAGGGGGGAGATGCCATACTCTTTAAAGGAGCAGGTCTCCAGTGAACTAATAGAAGGGAGGGCACCAGGCCGTTCATGAGGGATCTGTCCCCATGACCCAAACACCTCCCACTTGGCTCCACCTCCAACACTAGGGATCAAATTTCAACATGAGATTTGGAGGGGACAAACATTGAAACTATATCAGTACTGTTATAAAAGAGGACCAAAAGAGCCTGTTCACCCCTGCCACCGTGTAAGGACACAAGAAGGCACCATCTATGAGGAAGGTCCCACCAAACAATGAATCTGCCAGCATCCTGATCTTGAGTTTCTCAGCCTCTGAAACTGTGAGCAATAAATTTATATTGTTTATAAGATACCCAGTCTAAGGTATTTTATTATAGCAGCCTGAACTAAGACAAGCTAGCAAGGAAAGGTAGAGTTTAAGGAAAGATAACTTTGATTTTAGACAGACAATTTTAAAAAGTAGGACTAGAACTTGGAAGCGAGCCGGAGATAACCATGTGGGGGTGATGCAGAGCAGCAGGAGCAGTGGAAGCACTGGACACCTACCTCCAGAGGAGAAGGATATAGAGAGAGCAGAGGAGAGGACCCGGGGGACAGCCCAGGGCTGGGAGGGAGGAAGAGGTAGTAAGGTTAATGGAAGAGCTGCAGTCTTGAGTGATGGTGGTTATGGAAACAGCATCATTTCTCCACTCATTAGTGCAAAGTGTTCCATTTTCTCAGTACACATTTTAGATTAAATCTAAAGTACCTATATTTAAAGACACCTGTAAAAAAGACTATACAGTAGACGCTGTCAAGGAAGAATTACAAAGGGGTAATGGGGTCTTTAGGAGTCAAGGTTGGTACTAGACTGCAGAGGTCCTCAGGGGATGCTTTTTATGGCTGTATTAATGCACTAAACGCTAAGTCAGCAATATGCAGCTGCAATGACTTTTTTTAACCAGAATTATTAATGGGAAAGCAAGTTTCCAACATCCCTGTTCTCCTCACATTATGCCTTCCAGATGACAATAATTCTTAAATATGTAATTATTTATAAAACGGATAAAAACAAGGTTATTACTGTTTGGTACAAAATTATCTTTTCAGATAGTGATTTCCATCACTGGAATCATGGTGAAAATAAAAGCCAAATATTAATATAATATGATCAATCAAGACAGTGTCGCTGCTCACACTGAAAACAGTCAATCCAGGGGAGATACAGGCCTTCTGGCTGGAGTTCCTCCCCAGAAACAAGGGGTGAGACCAGTACCAACAGCATGAAAATCATCTTTCAATCCCCAAAGCCCTTTGTGGCCACGTGCAACTCAGTCCCAAGTAGTCAGTCTCTAAATGCTTAGACCACTGAGAATGCAGGAACTTTCTGGAACTATGTGTTCATTTTAAATTTACAGATTCTACTGGCTTGCCTTTGCTTTTTTTATACTAACTTGCCAACTATCCTTTTATCTGCCTGTTTTCTCTGTCATCTTCTCTCTTTAAATGAAAAATGATAATCTCCTAGTAAACTGAGCTGGACAGACAGTGACGGCTGTGCACTACTGCGTAATTCATCTTTATAAAATCCTCACACTTCACACAGAAGCCAACTCTCATTCTAGATGCTTGGAAATAGAATCAAGAGCAAATTCTAGCATTCTGGTGGCTAAGCTTAAAGTATACACGGCAGTTCTCGGAAGGGAAGGTGGGAAGGCAGCAGGAAGCAGCCTGTTCTTACCTATCACACCCTTCATCCAGATCTTCGCAATCACACAAACAAGCCGCCAGGTGGTTCTTTTCCCCATTGCGATCTATGTACTCGCAGCAGCACAGGGGCTCCAACTCAGGTTCTTCAGTTTTCTTATTCTTCGCTGGCTTCATGCTGCCCTTCTGTGTCATGATTTGCACCTGTCACCATGAGGCGTAAGAAGCCCTCAGAAGGTAAAGGTGGAAAGAACACAACTTACATCTTGTAAACACATCCACGCCTCTCTCTGATTAACCACCAACGCCAGAGCAATCAAAAATGAGAAGAAAGAGGGGGAGGAGGTCCCGTTTTCCCAGGCTTTTGTGGCTCCGCTTGGCCAAGCAGGGGGCTCCACGGTTCTTGGGGCTCGAGCTCCCTTCACCATCCCTTCCTCTCCAGGGCAGGCGCCGTCTGGGCACCAGCCGTTCCCATAGCGACAGCCGACCACGCGCCCAGGACAGCCGGGGCGCGGGCGGCAGCGCTCACCTGCGGGTGCGAGCTGCGGAGAGCCGAGCGGTCCCCGCCCCAAGCCTGGGCGCGGGTGGAAACTCGCTCTGGGCGCTGGGGAGAGGCGAAGCGTAAGCCCGCTGGCGCCGCGGGCTCACTCGGTTGCTGGGGCCGGGGACCCGGCTCCGAGAACGCCAACAGGCTCCCGGGCAGCGCTCGGGGCTGTGGTCCAGCCTGGGTTCTCCAGCCCCGCGCGGGGCGCGCCTCTGCCGCCCCTGCCAATGGGGAGGACGTGGGCGGGCCTTGAGCACCGCCCCGCCAGGAGAATGACCTTGGGAGGGAAGTTACCTGCCCTCCGGCCGGAGGTGCAGCCGCAGCCAAAGAGGCGGAGGCGGAGCGGAGAAGGGTTGGCTCCTTCAGGGGCGCGGGCGCGTCTCAGATCTCCGCTCCGCGGGGCCCCGGGGTGTGACGGCTGGAGTCTCAGGGACCCCAGTCCGCTCGGCCGCGCCCTCGCCACAGCCGCCCACCTGTGACCACAGCCCGCCGCGACCCCAGCTGCACGCCCGCCTCCCCGCGCGGTCCCGCCGCCCCCCGGCCCGCCGGGCGCGGAGCGGCGGATCCACGCGCGCTTCCGGGTGCCCCACCCCCGGCACCGGGGGTCCCGCCCGCCCGCACGTGCGCCGCCCGCACCCCGCGGAGCCCACGGGCAGGCCCCTCCTCCCGGGCCGCGGCCCTGGAGCCGGGAAGCCAGAAGGACGGTTCCCGCGAGCGGGTCCGGAGGTGGGAGCACGGGGCGGGCCGCGCACCTCCGGCCCGCCCCGCCCTAGAGACGGTGGCCCGGCCCCCGCCCGTGCCTGGGGGCGGCGCGTCAGCGTGGCAGCCTCCTGAGCCCTCGGGTGCCGGCGAAGTGCGGAGACGGAAATACGGGAAACCGGGGAACCCGGAGATTTCCGAACTACGTGAGACCGTGGGCGAGTCAGCCTTCATTCCGACGCCCGCAACAGGCGCTGGGAGAGATCTCCACCGCGACGTGTTACCCAAGTACCTCCCCAAATTCGCAGACCTTCCCTTAAAGGCCCATCGCTGCTGCCAGATCTGTTAATTTATCCAACTTGTTCATGATTTCTGGAAAGCAGTCTTTGCATTAGACCAGCAGGCCTCTCTACTACTTTTGTTCCCTTAGTCTGCATATTTGAAATGAAATTGCTGAGATGAGAGTCCTCTTTGGGTTTTATTTTTTGCACAAAATTTTTAATAGAGTTTAGGCCCATGCACATGTTTTCACTGGAAGGCTTCGTGGTTTTTTTTTTTTTTTAA